GGTCGTTCGCTGCAAAACGCACTCGTTTCTGATTTTTCGGTAAAGTTGAGTATTTCTCACGCCTACTTGCAGGGAATTCTACCTTCAAGCAGAATTAAGACTGTACTTGAGAGTAGAATATCCCAGCGAATTTTTAGCCTCGCATCTTATCCGGTAAACGAAATATCCACTTCACTACAAATATTTTTGAAGTGCTCTAGGTCGTGGGGCAAGTGCAATTCGGTGCTCATTTTAGGCATACGGTTTCCTATGTGGGCGACAAACTTGCTGACGAAATCTCAACCACTGTTTTCCAGCAACTTTCCGAGTTAGCACAGTGCCCAAGTTGCAAATCTAACATGATCGCACGCGCTTCACAAGCGTGTTCGACAGTTGAGTTTAAAATCTTTAGCTCGCAAGTGCACAGAGAATATTCCTGCAAAGTTTCAACTTTCTATCTCGCCTGGTTCGCGAAATCGTTACTTGCCAAAGAAATTTGCATATTTTTTGGGGATTCGTACGCAGAGTCTAGGTGCGTGAGGGGGAATATCTTGAAACGGGAAGGTGACACACGAGGTAGGAACATATACCCAAAGTTTCAGCCTCCCAGCTTTCTTGGTTGCTGGGGTGAAAGTGGGTGTAACAGCGCTATAGCGTTTTTGCTGTTGATTTTTGTGCACTTTTGCTGTGCAGCGCTGCACAGTAAAAACGCATGAAAATCAACAGCTCCTCCCTGTGCCCCTAACAGCCTATAGGTCTGTATCTTTTATAGTCATCTCTTCAGATTATTTGAAACTTTCTTACATCGACGTCGCGGTTGTTTTCCACGAGGTATTGAAAGGCGTAATATCCTCTGTAAAATTATTTTTTCATGCTACTTTTGACAAAACAGCATAACTGCTTTATCGAAAAGTTCTCCAGCCACATTGTTTCAAACTGCATTGCAGTATCTGATCTGTGTCATACGCGGAACAGCTTTTGAAACTGTAGCATTTAGAAACGGATGTAGTGGACCCAATATACCTGGCGCTGAAACAGGCTACTGGTATTTATGGCCGACGAGGATCATCGGCACATAATTTTGATTCAGCAACGCCGTCTCCTCGTAATTTATCGGATGCCTCACTGCAAGATTCTGGGTATGCTGAAGCAACCTGTAATCGCGGTCCAATGATAAGCTCAACACCGCAACTGGACCAATCAGGTCATCTTTTGACCTTTTCAAGTTTCTTTTTTTCTTTTTCAGGATGACAAATATCATCATGGCAAGTCTTGCCAATTCTGTTTGCACGTACGTAAAAAATGTCTCAAGATTGTCCGGAAGTTTGGAGCATTTGCACATACACGTAATCTTTTATCTTTAGTGGTGCACACTAGGCCGAGGCGAGCATGCGTTTTTGCGCGATTTTGTGAAGCAAACGACTCGATTAGGTTGTTAACGGCCGTTGCTTTACATTGTAATATTCATACTCATGTTGGAAATGTTCCTCTTGGTCTTTCTTACGCCTATGAATGTACCTACAAGCACGAAATGACCACTCGCTCCCCCTTCGTTTTCAGAAGTGACCACACTGCATTTGTATGAATTGTTGAGAGTATCTAAGTGATAAAAAGCTGCTGCGTGCATAAGTTCGAAAAATGGATACATTAATGCTAGTTGAAGATTGTCGAGGGAGTGCTGCATTTATGTTGGAATCGTTCAAATACGATTCACAGCCGCTGATAGAAACTTTTGGAAGCTTTTTTTGGAAGGCCTGAGATGATTTTCATTTCAGGTATGAGCGGAGGAAGACGCCGACCACCTAGACTTCATAAGCAAATGAAATCGCTGTCACTGGATTGCGCCGATCCGCCGCCTTCAATAGCATGTGGTATGCGCTCAAGTGAGTTCAGCAAACTAGCGAATTTCAAGCTTTTCTTATTCATTTATGATGTAATAATCCTACCTAAATAACAATGCACCTGTGGTGCAGCTTCTCTTGAACAAAAATGAAGTTTTTGTGGAACTACTCGGGGGAGGGGGAGGGTACACATTGCTGTTCATTTCATCCATGTCATTCCCCATAGCGGCAACGGACTGAGCAGTTCCAAAGAACGGCGCAGCACAAACCCCGCTAGTTTCAATGTGTCGAGAGGATGCTGTGCCGCATTTGGCCCAGACAAAATTGGATGATGCTAACAAAAATCTTGTATGCTATATAACGCACTATGGGAAAAAAGATAAATGAAATTAGCAGTGATACGCACCGGGACTGACGTCGCGCATTTTCACGAAATGATCAGATCGTTAACTCTACGAATATGGTTTGAGAGCTCATCATCGAAATGCTTTTGCTGGTCATTTCTTGCACGTGAGGGCGAAGGCTGTAGTGGAAATGGTATTGTTATACTACTGGGGCCTCTCGAAATTTCAGCTTTTTAGCAATGACCATTCATACTGTTAACGATCTCTTTGTTGCACGAAATCGTACAAAAACACGTGATCTCATCGACAGTCCTGGTGCGTGTCGCGTCTAGCTTTTTTTTGAAAAGGCTTGAAAATTAAATGTGTAGGTGGGAAATGTGTACAGCACAACTAACAGCTACAGGTGGTCATAGGTGCGCTACGGTCACAGCTACCTGCTGAGTATACAGTCGTTTATGGAAAGGAGCCAGATGAAGCTGAAGCTCCATCAGAACGCGTAATGCCTTTCGCCGTCGTCAGGAATTGTGGTTAGTGCCCGTCGATCCCGCACTTAGCTAATATCAGCAATGCTGCCTGCCTGCATGTTGTCGCACATCGCCTTTTGTCACTGCGAGCATGAAGGTTGGGTTATCATTTCGGTCCCTGTTTGAGCCTATGGATTGGCTAGGGCCTCCGCACTTCGTCCAGTTCTGCTTTGCTAGTTTTCAGTACATTTAACTATCTGTGCTAATTGTTTTTCACAGTGTTTTGAATGAAAAATAATATCGTTCACAATCTGTTCGTGCTTCTTCTGTGTAGCAAGCTGAAGCTTTAGTTGTTATTTGCACATTCATATAATACTGCAGTGACTAGCATTTGTGTTTAAGGAGGCAAATTAGCGCCAGTACCGCTGCACTACAACAACAGCTCAGGGGATATTTCGGAATGGGAAAGAAGCCGCTCTCCTTCCGGACTCTCTCCTCGCTCAACTCCGCGTCGAATTAGTTCCTCCAGCGGTATTCATTTCTCTTCAAATTATTATATTCCATAGCTCCTCTTCCTGTGGCTTATTTTGTTATGCTTTTCCAGTTCTGCAAGGATCTCACATAGTAATACATGAATACGCGGCTGCGCCAGACGTAGCGCTCTGCCTAGGCGATCGATTGAGGATTGTCGACAACGGCGATCCTGACTGGCTCTACGGTTTCAAGGTTACATTTTCAAATGAATGCTTAGCACAACATCTTTCACTTTGTATTCGAACGGTATGAACTGAACCGTTTCGTGAATTGTTGGAGAATTTGCTGCGAGAAAAGTTCTGGTTGCAGACGGGTGATCGAACAGATCGGCTCATATCATTTCCAAGCACATGCGTGGCGTTAGTGCAACCTGGTGAACAGCCAATGGTGCTTAGACAAAACGTTCACATGCCTGAAGCTAAGATGAGGCTTTATCGCGACCAGGTTATCTTCGCATTATACTTATCCTAAATCATTCCTGGCATAAAGTTGCAAGTTTGTGTTTGATCTGAGCAAATCTGTGCATAAATGTGTTTTTATTGCAGGTAGTATTTGCACAGCCAGATTCAATTGTGGATGGCCGAGTGTTGGTCCGCACGGAACGACACGCTTTTGTGGAATGTCCACTGCAGCATCTTCTCCTTTTATAATGTTGAATTTCAAAAAACGAACACTGAAACACTACAGTTCTGAAAGGGATTAGAATCATAAAAAAAAAGAATGTTGATAACGACTAGTCCATCATTATCAACAGCACTACCACCATCAGTCATAACAATCCATTTAAAAAAAAGATCAGTAGGTATAAAAAGATCCACATTCGTTTATAAAGTTTTGAATTAACTTATCACATTTGCACGTCCCATGTACAAATATTGACGTTTTTTCGCATTTTTGGCTGACGAAACAATTTTTTCTGAATTTTCATCATCTTGCAAGTTTTGTTTTTTAGAGCTGTAGCATATGTTACGCTTTTTTGCATCAGTGCTGTTACAAAAAAGCATAATGAGAAGATCTTGTCGGCATGTTAATGGCTGCCAATAATAAGAAATCGAAAATTTAGAAACTATGTGCATGTATGCTTGCAAACCCAGAAACTAGACAAAACAGCTCGTTTCATTTCTAATTCCATAATATGCGGCTCAAAAATTCAAATCAAACATTAAATGTTCTCATTTTCTGACATATGGCTGTTTAATTGAATGAACTAAACTACATAGTCCAATTCTCCAGCTGTGTAATCTTCCAGTTGATTTGACCGATGCTGTGTCGCCTGCTAGTCAGCCTACTAACGATCCTAAAGTTCCTTTCAACTCCAAAGAAATTGTGTGCAGCTCAAATTTCGTCCCGATAAAAGCACTTTGATAAGATTTCGACCGTTTTGGGAATCCTTGGTGTGCATTGGAAATCACTGGCTCGTCTCGAGTGTTGCCGCTCATATATCACGGCGATAACTTACTGAATAGGGGGCCTTAATTAGGAGCTCAAAAGAAGGAAAAACCGAATAGAACCAGAAAAATCAACCCATGTGTTGGAAATTTCGGCTTTTTCTGCGGTAAATATATCAAAAAATACGGTATTTGACTTATGATGTTTCTGGTGCTTATTCACAGCGAGTTCGCAACAAATTATTTTAAAAACGCATAGGCATGTCGGCCCTTTTTCCGCATACTGCTATTTTTTCATTTTGCTTCATAACGGGCCAAGAATTGTCGGGGATTAGAGTTTCATTTTATGGTACGAAACACGAAAGTAATAAGTAATACAATGAAAATCCAATAATCATTGAAAATTTGTTGTTTTTAAAGTATTTTTGAGGCATTTAAATTGTTGTTTTAAAGTATTTAAATTTGTTGTTTGGAAAGTGCACTGAATATAAGCCGACTACAAACTAAGATAAGAGAAGGGATCAGTTCCATCTAATGAAAGCTACATTAAGTGGAAGCATATAAAAGCGGCATTTGGCTTTAAGCAGGAAACAACAACTTAAGTCAATGAGCAATAAGCCGGCAAAAAGTTTGTAATTCAGCTACACAACGTCATTTTTTGGTTATTCTTATAGTCCCTTTAAATTATGATTCAAAGGGGCGACATGAATATTATTATTGCACATTTGAGTTCATATTCTGTAGATCAAAATACAACGGAGGCTTAAATGAACAGGTAGCTGATGCGACCACACGTTTTGCGCAGTCGTGCTCCGTGCTGCTGTCAACAACCTCCCACTTTGGCTTTCAATTATCGATCCTTGAGCCTTGGTGTACGTGGGAGCTGAATGTGAATTTTCATACTCATATATGGATAAGAGAGATCTCCTGAAAATTTTGGTTTCCTGCCTTGTCTGGTTTGGGAGCTAGAAATTTCTCTGCCTAGACTTCCATGCATTTGCACCTGGGACGTAAACGAGCGTGGTAAGTTGAATTTAAATCTCCAAAGTTACATACCGACGCAAAGCATTCTCCTAAAATTCCAATTATGTCTTGTTTACCATGTCTAGATTTTAAGTTGAAAAATTTTTCGCTTAAATTTTCACGCGCTCGTACGTGAGACCCAGGCTTACTTCGAAGCTAAATTTGAATTTCTGGAACTACACAAAGATATGAAGCAACCTCTTCTAAAATTTCAATTTTTGCATATGGCCTAATTTTCAAAAAAAGAAAAACAAGTAACGATTCCGAAATGACGGGTACGTCTGTGAACAATTCCCGCTTGTCTGTGAGAAATTGCCAGCCTCTTATCAGGATGTGCTATTTGGTGATTATTAAGCCTAATGTCTTCCAAAGCATTCCTCTGTTGTGCAGCGCTTCCAGCACTTCGTAAAATCTGCAAATTTCTCGAGGTAGAGGTGAACAACAGAGATGGGGTGGAGATGTTGGGCTAGGTTGCATAGGATTGGGATAGATACACAGGTGGTTGGGATAATGAATGAAAGTGGGATGAAATGTTGCTTGGGCTGGGATTGGAGGGAGAGTTGAGAATAACGAAGGACGGTTTCTTTCTAGCATCATACACTCTTAATCGAAGGAACTGAGATTTGACTGACTGATAGGAAACAACGATTTGCTGCCAATAAAACCATATTGCAATGACAGAAACACGAACAATGGTCATGCAGCAGCAAACGAACTGTTAAACTCGAGATAAGTACCCAGCAGGAAAATCCAACTTTTATAGAAAAGGCGCTGGTAAGTCAGGGAAGCCGACCAAAGGGTGTGTGGGAGGGGAGTTGCCACTCACCAAGCTTGCTGGTGCGGCCATGCGATCTTGGGCTAAACTTGTAGCAGTCAGATTGCCGACAGCACAAATGGCTCCTGCGTTACAGTTTAATATGTGTATACATGTTTGGATGTGTTTTCTTGCACGCAGGGGAAAATGGTTTTGGTTTGGATGGTGGTATTGCATCAGCTGACCGCGTGAATGCCCAGCGTGCATGATTATTAGTTTTGCGTGAAGATCGGTCGTTTTTCTGGTGAGCGGTCCCTAATCGAAAAATGCAAAATTTGACAATGGATAGAATGTCGGAAGAGGTTCCTTTGCGCTAGTTAAAGAAGCATGCGATTAAAGCCGATCTGATACAGTTATCTGTTGAAGCGAAGAGAAATGCTTCAGATCAGCTAAAAAAGTAAACATCAGGGTCTGCTGCACTAGCGCATAACAACAGAGATAAAAGCAGTAATGTTTTGTTTTTTGTAGAACTGTAGCAAATAATCAGCTCCTTCTTGGAAATACCCTTAAAATTGTGAAATAGCGAACATGTAACTTTAGATGCATCTTTGGAATGCACTATAATTTTGCCGACAAACTGCTGGTATCGCAAATGCAAAGCTCATCGTGGTTACCGACTGCGACCTCTCGGATCGTAACACGTTTGATATATGTGGATTTAGTCCAGCCATCAATGAAATAGTTCGTGGTTTTGCCAAATTATTTCCACCTCGTGATCAATAACGATTTGAAAGTCCTTTTTTCGGTATAACTAACATTTAAAAAGTGGTCGAGTTTGAGCGATCTAGAATGCAGATTAAAAGCTGCCTGACGTAACAAGTTTGATGAACGGAATAATTTTAATCAAAAGAAAATTAACAGAAACAAGTGTGAATGAACAAAATGCGCAGGAGTGTGAAATACAAGTGATGATACTAGCATTCAACATTCAAGCTTTTCATACAGAACAATCCGGGCACCAGAATTTGATGACCTAACCTGCAACATCAATCGAAATTGCTACACATCTGATTCCTCTACACCATTATTACTTTTATGTAGAAATTTTGCAGAGTAAGATGTAAAAAACATAAGAGAAGTAGCGTTATTCAGTTTTCTTTTAAACAGTACGCTGCACGTAAGTTGGACCAAATTTGCGCAGAAAATCGCACTTATGCTTGGGATTCCAGACTGCCACATTCCCATCCTAACAGTGCCGCCAGAATTCGAATTCAGAAAGTTCATGCCGCTATTACTATCGATCAATGTTGCCTTCCAGTATGTTAAAATTACAGGACAACAGAGCTCTAGTGTAATGCATGGAAACAAAAATGCTTACTAACAACAGTTATGAAGCCATTAACAAGCACGAAATCAGGAAGACACCGGGTAATTGTAACATTTAATGATATTTGTTAACAGCAGTGAGAGTGAGAATTGCCCAACAAAAGCTAAAGTAACAGCATCGCACTGCAAACCATCCTACCCTTCCGACAACTCTTCCACAATAGCTTAAAAATTAAGGGAATACTGTTAAGTGACTATTTTCGGGAATCAAATAAAGCAATCCGCATCCTGCAAGTAGAAGAGATTGAGTCAAATTCCCTTCATTCAAACCCCCAATCGCCGTACATCATTTTCAAGTGTCCCAATGCAGTACTTCAATGCACAATTCGTTGCAGAATGAGCGATCGCAGTGAGAAACTGTGCCGTACAAATTAAGAAATTGAGAATTTGAAAAAGCGCACAAAGTTGCATCACATAAAAAAGCAGTGCGTTATAAACAATGTGTAAAATGTGAGAACATATGGAACTGGGGCCGTTCACAAATGAAAACTGTAGTATCGAAAACAGCACATCGGCGTTACCACTGAAACATAACCGATGAGTATACGCAGCACGAAAAAAAAAAAAAATCCAGGGTTAAATGGAGAAAACGCACATCTGTGATAGTAGATGGAGCTGCTGCAAGAAGTGGAAGTGATATGAGCGACAAGAATAAAGTGCCATCCTTTACACATGCTGCTAGATACGAGATGACATCAGCATTCCAGACAATTTATCAAAGAAGCGATGCCTTCTCAAACAGGATAATAAAGCTACATCTGTCCCAATGACAAGTCATCAATCAAATAGCAAATGCAAATATGGCTCACAGTCGTTGCCCACAGGTAGTACGGTATCCACCGACGCAGTGATGATTGCTTATCCTCAACGCTATCGCAAGAATTGATAGGACTATCCGAACTAAACATGCACGATCTTGCAGATTGTGAAATGCAGCCACAAGCCGAAGACGGTAAAACTTCAGTCGCTGTGTTCTGCTTTTAACTTTGATAGCTACCTAGCTGCCCTCTCCATCACATAAACTCTCAATTTTCTCGGAGATACCTTGTGTCGACATTTCCAGTTCGCAAGTGCAACCAACAATGCCAGCAGCGAAGCC